CCCCACCAGTAGGCATATCACCACGCGGGGACCCAACTCCGCACAGGTTAGGGAGCTGAGAGCGGAGACGGAGCCCCGACCTGGCCAGCCAGCACACAACAGGTGCAATCGCGCAGCCCTGGGACGCGGCATGGGATCCTTTCCCGTGCCCTGCTCGCTGTCATTGTTCTCGGCGTCCCGGGGACTCCTTTGCCCCACCACCCCTGCCTTTCCCCTCACCCTGGCCTCGACCGCGATGGGGACCGAGCGCCTGGCAGCCGTGTTCTCCTCCGGGACCCGCGCCGACTCTGCTCTCGGCCTCTCCCAGGCGATGGTGACGGCAGTGGCGGTCGGGACTCAGCCCACCCCCCCCGCTCCAGAAGCGGCAGAGACCGAGGCGGGCGAGGCGCGAGTGAGCCTGGCCGCCGCTGCTGTTTCCATAGCGACGGGGGCGGAGGCTGCGCAGGGAGCGGCGCACGGCAGCGACCCCGCCCCGGCCTCAGGATCACTTCTCAGGCCCAGCTCAGCTGCAGGCATCCAGGATCCCCACCCCTACAAGTACCCCAGATGCTCCGCCCAGATCTTAGCCCCTGCACTCCCTCAGCCCTAGGGATCCCAACCCCGAGACAGTTCATGGGAAAACTCCCTCGCTTTTCTTCTCACTGGTCCCCCCACCCCCACCCCCACCCCCCAGGAGTGCAGGGTCCTAACCAGACAAGGCATCCTTCTAGGTCCACAGTTTCTTCAGTGACCTTGACTGCTTCCCGTGACCATCTTGCCCACCCAGCCACACCAGTGACAGACATCTCAGATCACTCAAGTTGCTCTCCTGCACTTTGGTGTTTTATTATCACTTCCAAATCTCAGTCATACAGGTTAATAAGGGCACTGTTAATTTTTTTTTTAAATGAAGCTAAAACGGCCTCGATGATATGGCCAGTGGGCCCCACCACCTGTCCCCAGAGGAGTCCCTGGGCCAGAGCCTCTTCCTCTTGGCATTGTCTGGCCAGTGCGCCTTGTTGACTTTCCCTGCCAGCAACCCCTGAGCAGCAGAGGGGGGGTTCAGGGGCTGGCACTGTGGGGAGCAGCCCTCTACAGTTGCTGGCCATTCCCGGTCCAGCTGGTTCTACAACCACCCTAGCAGAGAGCAGTCCAGAGCTGACAGTCGTCCCCAGAGGTCTATTGCCACAGGTGGACATTCCCACCCTGTGCAGCTGCCCTGCGATGTACAGCCTGGAACCTCCGGTTGTGGCTGCCAAGCTCAGAGGACCTGCTCTGTACTGGAAGCGGAGATGTCCAGGAGCCGCCAGGCCGCATAAGGGTTGAGCTCATCCTGGTCCCGGCACAGTGCCCACACGTACAGCATGCGTAACACCTTGTCCTGCAGGAGTGGGAATGGGTATGAGCCTGGAGGCAGAGAGCAGCACAGCAGAATGAAGCTGCCAGGTCAGGACATGGGGGACACTGGGGGACCAGGGAGAGGTGTTGGAGTGTGGGTCTGGGGTCCAGAACAGAGGCTGGGACAGAGGCTAAAACTCAGGACTTGGTAAAACTGGACAAGTCAGTTGCCTTCTGACCTCCACCAGACCCAAAACAGGCCCTGGGACTTTTCAAGGTGCCATCCTGCTGTCCCCTCCCAGTCACAGAACTTCCTGGCTCTGAACTGCCACCTGTGTAGGTGGCTGGCCACTGCCATCCAACTGGTCCTGGGCTGGCTGCCTGCCCTGTCTAGCCCCCTCCCTCACTCACCGGGTTGCCCTCGACCACCTCGCCTTTGGCGTTCTTGATCACCATCACCAGCTGGGCGTGGAAGGTGACAATCAGCACGGGGCCCTGCTCCATCATCTTGCCCATGGCCAGCTGTGGGGGGAGCCAATGGGGTGGATGGGTATCACTGAACAGTCCCCCACCAATTCCCTGTTGCTCCCCTTGATGTGGAGACCCCCGTGTCCTGGGATGCTGCCAGGAGGAGCAGGGCACCTCAACATCTCAACTCATCACCCTGGAGGGACTCCGAGGAGCCACCCCAATCAGTACTCCAAGCCTGTCACCTCCTGCTGGCCTGTTTCTGTGTAGGCATTTCCCAGGAAACCCTTCCCATGGACAAATCCAAACCCTCTACTGTGAGATGGAGTCTGAACTTCTGAGAACCCATGAGGGCTCCCAACACCCTGGCAGCCTCTTGGTCCCCAGACTGGGGCTGTGCGGGGTGGGGGAGTGGGAGGGCAGCACACGCAAAAGGACCTCAGAGTTGGGTACCTCATACACAGGTCGGGGGAGGGAGGTTGGCGCTGGCATGCTTTTAGCCCAGAACAGGGAGGAAATGGGGGTGATTGTGGCAGAGCAGGTCTTTGGCAGCTGAGAAGTCCTGACAAAGCCCCCACCCTTCCTAGAAGGTGCAGGCATACCATCACCTTGAGGGACTCTGGAACCCTGATATCTGGGCAGCAGCAGCCCTTATGCCTACCACTTTCCTGAGAATATTCCAACCATAGGACTATGGAAAACTTTCACTGCAAGGGACCCTTGAGATCATTTAATCAAAGTGCCCACCTGTGATGGAACTCCTCCAGGGATGGGGAGCTCACTCCTCATGCTGATCAGTATGCTTTCCCAATCCCAGGGGACACCCAGCCCACCCGGAAAGTCACTTACGTCGACATTGTCAATGTCCAAGATACGGGAGTGGAACTGGAGGCCCAGCGCCTTGGCCTGCTGGATTGGGTGGGCCAGCTGGCTGTAGGTCTGCAACAAGAGGCCAACGTGCCCATCTGAGGACCACCCAAGACCAACCACACCAAGGCGCCACACCACAAGAGAGGGCTGGTGCACCGCTAATGCCTGCCCACCTTGGGCAGGTGCCAGCCTCCCAGAACATGCTTCCTGCAGGCGGCTCACGAACAGAATTTCCTGATTTCAGCTCTTGCACCTTCCAGAAATGGCCACAGTGCCTGGGTGTGCTAAGCCAGGAGCAGCAGATGCCAGGAGCATGGGTCCAAGTACAGAGGCTGGAGCCACCCATTGCTGGCCCAAGTCACACACTTCCTTCTTATTATAAAGACAGAGCTGTCAGGACCACCAAATGAAAGTGGTATTAATCAGCGCAGTAGGTAACTCCTCTGGAAAGCCACCTGAAATGCACTCGAGGGTTAAGTAGAGGCCTGCTTGGCTGATCTTAAATGCTCCCACATTTATCTCACTCCAAGTCTTGGCCTGGAATCAAACGCTTCTAGGATTTGCCCTAACCCATGGGTGGCTTTGAAACTAACTGCCTTGTTCTCACCGACTAGCCCTTTGTAGGTAGCTGACCATCGCAGGCAGCCTGTTCTCCCTACGGGGACAGTGGTGCCCCAAGTGACACTCTTAATCCCCTCGTGCCTATTCCCACACCCAAAACACAGCCTCTGGGACATGTGCAGCCTCATATCACAACAGGCAACCACAACAGAAGACATTCCAATAGAGAGAAAAATATGGGGCTCTTAAAGATGACATTTAAAAAAACACCTATGTGAGCAGCTATAATCTCAGCTGTGTTCCCAGGGGCACCAGCAGCTCTCTGGCAAAGAGAATCCGCCATGTCATAATGGTTCCAAAGCAAAAACAAAAAACAAACAAATAAACAAACAAAAAAAACACCTTGTACTGACTGCTGGATTAGTCACCATGCAGGGTGTGTTTAAAAAGAAAATCTAACAATTTCTCTGCTTTTTCCAAGTTGTTTTTGAGCTGGCACAGAACAGAATCGACCAAAAAAAGCCTCTGGATTGCTTAATACAAAGAAAATGGAAGCAAACACCCCATGAAGACACAGGTCAGGAAATGAGCAGGGTAAGGCGAGGTGGCGGGAGAAGATGGAAACCCTGAGGAGATGAGGCGGTTGCCAGGAACAGGGCAGACAGTGTAACACCTGACCCACCTCCTCATAGTCTAGCACTGCCTGTGGCCCTGGGACCCCTAACCCGGACCCCGGGGGAGCAGTGGGGCCTCATCAGGACCCATGGCTCCTCCCCAGGCAGGAAATTTTATCAATGTCTATTTTGATCTGTGTTCTGGGATCTTGAAGCAAGAATAGCTAATGAACTCATCTGGTGCTTTGTGTACCCTGGAACACTGCTTCTGTGTTCAAGCTGTACCCCACGGAACGGGGACAACGGTGTGACTCTGGCTCAGGAAAGGAGGTGACGGAGGCCATTGGGGCCTCCAAATGCTCTTTCTCCAGCACCCATGGGCTCCGGGGGAACATCTAATGCAGCTCAGAGTTATTCATTGTCCATTTCCACCTGACCCCTGGGCCCCCAGCCTATACCCCAGGCCATCCTGGCCACGAGACCTTGCTACATGTCACTTAGGGCCACCTAAAACAGGGCAGATAGGCCACACTGAAAACTCACCTTACTCAGATGCTTCTCTTATCATCACCTTTCTCTCCTATGAGCCTTCTTAAACCAGAATTAGGATGGAGGAAGGGTTCTGGATGACAAGGCAGGAGGACTGACCTAGTCCCAGGCCATCCTTTAGGCCAAGTAAGGGAAGAAAGAGCAAGCTGGAAGGACCATTCCTGACTAGTTTACCTTAGAACAGTGGTTCTCAACCTTCTGGCCCTTTAAATACAGTTCCTCATGTTGTGACCCAACCATAAAATTATTTTCGTTGCTACTTCATAACTGTAATGTTGCTACTGTTATGAATCGTAATGTAAATATCTGATATGCAGGATGGTCTTAGGCGACCCCTGTGAAAGGGTTGTTCGACCGCCAAAGGGGTTGTGACCCACAGGTTGAGAACCGCTGCTCTAGAAGGACCAGCCACCAGGCCCTCGGTGAGTCTTGCAAATTATGTGGTATGATGTGCATAAGGGACAGAAGGATCTGTGCCTCTGAGCATGTCAGACATAAGAACCTCCCTTTAACCAGGACACCAGGCCCTGTCATGCCTTTTCCAGACCAGCTGCTTAGCAGATCTCCTCCAAACTGTGATTTCTATTTAGGCCTAAATAGAGAAAAAGAAAAGTACTCACAGCTTCATAGCACCAGT